TATATATATGTACCCTACATAAAATCACCCCTATAGGCCCCAAAATCAGGTTTATATAGTTGGGATACATACAAACCTATATCTAAGTGTCTATCTATATACATCTAGATAGATGCAAAGGGTAATTAGGGCTTATGTGGTATTCTACGGGTTTGGGTCACTTTCCAAGACCCCACCGAACCTCTCACGCAGCATTCCTGAACCCTTGAGCAGTCTATTTTGAGGCCGTCCATGATGAGGCTCTCTCTAGAATGTACATTATGTGTAGCATGTTGCAACCATGGCAATAGGGAGGAGCCCCCAAATTCGAAGATTGCACAGTGTGCAGAGACATAGTTGCTGTCTGCGACTATCTGTCCTGTGGTAGCTTCGTTTCTTTCCTTTAGGGTTTTCAGGGGTTGTAGGGTTTATAGGGTTTATAGATAGATACATAGGGTAATTATAGGGCCTATATGTGCTATTCTACGGGTTTGGGCAATTTTCCAAGGCCCCACCGAGCCTCTCACGCAGCATTCCTGAACCCCTGAGCAGTCTAGGAGGCCTTCCATGATGAAACTCTCTCTAGTATGTACATATAATGTAGCATGTTGCAACCATGGCAATAGGGAGGAGCCCCTAAAATTCGAAGATTTTTAGGGGTTGAAGGGTTTATATAGGGTGGACCTAGAGTCTATACATTGTCGAGTTCCCTTATTGGGTTACCTTTTTCGGATCCTGTAACCGTAAAGATGGTTTAGCCTAACAGGCAACTATAATGGAGACTATTGGTAGGGCTTTTAGGTTTGATAGGGTTTATATAGGGTCTATATAGGGTTTATTGTTTAGGGAGCTTGCTTTGTAATGACCGAAACTTTGTAAACCTTGTATAAAGTTCCAAATGCAACTCCTATAGACAACCACCCCTGACGCCCCGCACCGCGAGGTTCGTTCGTTGACACTGTCGAGAAGCAGGTCTCTCCGCCTGCAATGGTATAACATAGAAAAGCCCATATATAGTCTTTATTCGTGTCTATACGGTACTCCCTTCTTGGGTCCGTTTAGGTTTTATAAACATCCTAGTATATAGTACCACTCTGTACTTTCCCACAAGGCCCTACAGGAAAGCTCCGGGGTGGGTTCGGTCAATATATTGCACCTGCCTGGGCTTAGGCCTATAGGATATGGCGACCTCTTTGGAGTCAGAGTGTCTCTGTAGTTTACATCATGTCTTGTCTTGACAATAGACGTGCAGATACCTCTGACAACTTCGAAGCTTCAGATACAATGTAGTGTCCAAGGTCTTTGTTGTTTTCCCGTGTCAGACATACATAGGTATCACATGGACCCCCTGTAGATGCTCGGTCTAGACCTATATAGTCTCCATTGTACTTCCTTGTCTGGGGTGTATAGTGGCGGGTATACTTTATAGGGTCCTACATAAAATATATAGAACCGGTTGAACGACAGAGGAAGTATACAATGGAGACTATAGGTAAGAGTCTACATAAGGCTAGCAATATCCCAGAAAGCACTGCGAGTGTAGGATAAAACCATCCGAAAGCAACCCAGGCAAGCTACTGGGTGCAGAGTATCTTGGCATGAAATTCTAAAGCTCCCGGGCAGCAAGTACAAGACTGACGGTTTAGGGGTTGAGGGTTTAGGGTTTAGAGGGTCCCAGTATGTAAACCCTATAAACCCTAAACCCTAAACCCTGAACCCTCAACCCTGAAGCACGACGAACGTGTACCTGTCCTGCTTCCTTTGCTCGAAATATGCAGCTTTAGGTCGCTGTTGTTTTGACAGAGAAACTCATGCAGTGTTGAAGCCGGATCAATGAAAGTATCTCTGCCTGCCCTGCTTGCTTGCTTTTACGAGCTATGAGCATCGACGACGATGAAGAATCCAGCTGGTTGAGGGAACTTATTGAGTACAACAGAGAGCCTCGCTTGCATTGTGACCCAGGGTAGCAAGCCCCGCCAAGGACTTCTGAAGCCCCAGCTCTAGATAGACCGACTCTGATTTTGCAAGAGACCAGCACTTCCACGCTTTGCCCTAAACCCTGAACCCTGTGAACCCTCTGAAGCCTATAAACCCTATATACACCAGAAACTATAAGATGTTTGCATGTCTGTCCTCTAGAGACTTCAGAGGAAAGTTCGTTGGGCCCGTCGTCGTCCACGACAATCGCACCTTGGTCTGAGCCGTGGCACACACAGGCAAAGATCTTGTTTCAGTGTCGACTGCAATCGGACTTCGTTTGTCTAGGTACAACAGCAGACCGCACCTTCTCTGCCAGATCTCCGGTTGGATTCAAACATACTGAGTTTGCCGAGAACCGTGGATGTATTCCATAAGCTGCTGTCTACAGACCGCATGAGTCTTAAGCTGCCGAGACCGGGAGCCCTCGCCGGACAGGTCATTAAGCACGGCATCAGGGTGCTAGAAGACACACTGGCTTCCTACGGCCCCATGGTCTACAAGATAGGGTACAGCTACGATCCGCACAACCGTTTCTTCAACCGCAGCTTCGGGTATGTGCACGAACGGCAGAAGTGGGAGAAAATGATCGTGGTGTATGTCAGCCACGAGACCCTGGGTCCTGCCTTCCTCGAGGCTGCTTTGATCCAGAGGTTCAAAGGAGCCTTATTCAGAAATAGAATGATGTTAGCTGCATTGAGCCCTCAACTGTTCTGGTTCGTCGCCACAAGCTCTGTAGCCAGTTCCTATACTGCCCAAGGACAGCAAGGCTGTCGAAATGAAAGAGATGGAGGAGACACCGTGTGTGCCCACTTGGATGGCCCCTTCTTCACTTATTTTGTGTACCAATCCTTCAAACGAGAGCCGTACCGAGCAGGATTGTCTGGCATGGACTAGATGTGCACGCTGTCGGTGCTGCATAATTAGTTGGCACAATCGAAAAGCTGGCTGATGCAAAACAGTTAACTGTTGCTGTTGCCCAGGGATGTCGTGCTATGACTGCACAAGCACCAAGCCCTGTAAACCCTAAACCCTATAAGCCCTATACATCCCCTAAACCCTAGAAGCACCCACGATCCGAGGCTTTGGCTGAAAGCTCTCTCCGGCAGCAGCCTGTCTGCTATGTGCGAAGCCACATGAACTCTAAACCTATACAGTCTTCAAACTCCCACAGCCGAAAACTCCGAAACCCAATGGCCCGAAATTCATCTGCCGAGAGACATAGATTTAGGGCTTGTAGGATTTAGGGTTTATATACCTATAGTCTCCATTGTGGTACCTTTTGGAATTTTTGGGGGTTACCTTGTATAGGATCCTATAGCTATATATAGTTGGTCAAATACAAAAAGGAACTACAATGGAGACCATAGGTATAGGGTTTTTAGGGTTTCGGGTTTCTAGGAAAAGTTGATGACTATCTAGATGTTTCTATACAACCTGTAAGGGGTCTATGACAGTAACCCTAAACCCTAAACCCTAAACCCTAAACCCTAAACCCTTAACCCTTATAAACCCTAAA